CCCGGGGGGGGGGGTTAGCAGCAGGCACCCCCGCGAGGGCGACCAGGCGGCCCAGGGTACCCGCACAGGCCCACTGGTGGGGGCTTAGTCTAGGCACGACAGCACCCGCCCCCGGGGAAAAGTGTCCCCCTTGCTCTTTGGGACCCGGCCTGGGCCCTGCTGTGTAGTGGTGCCCTCTGGGGGCACGTCCCAGACCCCTGGCCTCCTCCTCCAGAACCCCCCCCCCGTGCAAAGCGAGTGGCCTCGCACGAGGAAGCCAGCACTTGCTCCAGCTCGCACAAGAGACCTAGGCGGCCCCCCCTGCCCTGGGATGGAGGGCCGCGGGAGGTGAGACGATCCAGGTTTCCAAAGCCCCGTGCCGCGAGGTCTAATCATAGGACTTGGCAGCGCAGGACGCTCTCTGGGAAGCTGCGGGAGGCTATTTCTGGGGAGTGTGGAGGCAGGGCAGCCAGGCCCGGCTCTCTGCCTTCCCTTATAAAGCCCGTCTCCCCCGCGTGCCCAGCCTCGCCCCCCTTCTCTCCTGCCCGGGGGCGCTGTGCAGCCCGGCGGCTATGTGAGCCCCCATGCACAACTGGGGCCTGAACGTTGCCCCGTCACCCCTCTGCCACGGCCTGGGCTGATGTAAGGGGCCTGAACCCCTTTGGGAACCGGGGCCTCCGCCTCTCCCAGCCTCAGTTTCCCTGTGTACAATGGGAACCCTGCCGCTTACCCCCTTGGTGCCAGCGCTCTGAGAGCTGGCAGGGGAGGTCGTGTCAATGCGATCATGCACAACTGGGGCCTGAACGTTGCCCCGTCACCCCTCTGCCACGGCCTGGGCTGATGTAAGGGGCCTGAACCCCTTTGGGAACCGGGGCCTCCGCCTCTCCCAGCCTCAGTTTCCCTGTGTACAATGGGAACCCTGCCGCTTACCCCCTTGGTGCCAGCGCTCTGAGAGCTGGCAGGGGAGGTCGTGTCAATGCGATACACCGGGCCGGAGGGAGCCCAGCAGGGCACCAGCGCCGGGCGATTTTCTGCCATTGAAAGCAATGCTCCCGGCTGTCCGGGGCATTTCTACGGCGCGCACGCCATGGCGGA